TAGTTCGTTCTTTGTGCCAATGCTGTTACTCCACTAAAGTACTGTTCTGTCCCCTCCCAATGTTACCAGCAGGGTGGCTGGGGTCTTCTTGCTCTACCCACATATAAACTGTAAGTGACAAAGACCAGCTTGACAAATGCTGGCCTTTGCAGAATTTGTAGCTCCAGACTTGAGCAGCAGCGGCAGGCCGGGGAGAGTAGCAGCAAATGGCACTCTCCAGGGATGGCTCTCGTGCAGGCCTTGGGTAGCTTCACCCTTTACGATTTTTATGAAACCAAGGGTACCAGGACTATCAATCAGCTCTACAAGTTACAGCTCGGGCTTAGGATTAGGAAGTCTGGACCTCTGAGATGTGGCCAGCGATACAATTCTCAGGATCCAGGTGTCTGAACTCTTGCTCTAAAATCCTGCCAGCTCTCTGGAGCTCTTTGGCCACCAGGGCCTAAGGTTTCTATTCTCTGACTCTTTACAGCCTTAGGTCCACCCATCCCCTCTGCTCTTACCCAGCCACACTCTGGAGCTCTTCCACCAAGCAGCCAGCCACCTGGACACATTTGTGGAGCTTCTGGCTGCATGCCACTTCCTGTCAGCCTGCACTACTCAGGGTTAGTAGGTAAAGGTGCTGTGACTGAGTCTATCTATCCCGGAACACACACATTCTAAGGAGAGGGTGGGCTCTGTCAGGTTTGACTATGACCTTCACATGCATGCAGAAGCATTCGTGTTCTCCCACACACATGTACACACACAATTAAAAAATAAAAGTAAATGAATAATAAAAAAAAAATAGAAGCAGGCAAGAAGACTTTTATTGGGCCTGATATTGCCAAAGCAGGGCAGGCATCACAGCAGGGTGTTTCCTAGGCAACTCAGCCAGAGGAGGACTGTGTACTGCAAATACAGTGTTGCCCTTTTAGAGCAGGTCAAAGGCCTCTCTCTTCTGGGCCACTGGGGAATGTGCTGCTACCCTGGCCACGAGAGGCTGCCAGGGCTTGGGGTAGCAAAAAGTGTGGCAAAAACTGAAACATTGGGGCACTAGCAGAGACAGTTGTGTAGATTTCTCAAGGCATCGGTGGCGTGTTCAGAACACCTGGCATTGGCATAAATATGGCTCTCTGTTTGACTGCCAGTCCTTTGGCTCAAGACAATCCAGGCAGCAAGGGTGAGCATAGTGGCTGCTAATTAGGGAGTCAAACTGCCTACACCCGAGTCTCTTCATTTATGGGGAAACGAACAGGAACAGTGAATACCACAAGCACAGTAATTTTAAACATTTAAAAGTGTGTACCTGTGTGAGTAAATGCCATGCATACGCAGGTGCCTGCCGAGGTCAGAAAAAGGTGTCGGATCTCCTGGAGATGCAGTCATGGGCATTTGTAAGTGTGATATGGGTGCTGGGAACCAAACCTGGGTCCTTTGGAAGAGTAGCAAGTGCTCTTAACAGCTCAGCCATCACATTTTAACTAATGGTTACCACCTGCCCAGAGCCCTAAGTAGAGAAGGCCTCGTCTGGTCTACAAACACGCCTTATTAACAGGCTGTGCCCTATTCATCTCTGTATGAGTATCCAGTATGTAGTTTGAGCTTAATATTTGTCAGTTTGAGTTTAGATACACTACACCCATTTTTACAATGTCTAAGAGGCATCCAGGCAGAGAAACATCCTCAGGGAAGAGGGGTGCTGTCAGAGGCCTAAAGGTGGCAGCCCATGTTCGCAGTGTTTGACTCCCTAGGGATGGGGAGACACCCAGATTGGGCCTAGGAAGAGAGGTTCCCAAAGCAGAACAGCTACAGGCTATACTGGGTGACAGATTTGTGTCTGGTCCACATTTGTGTCTGGTCCACATTCTACACGCAGGAAACAGTGAATGAAAATCAAGGCTTTAAATGTGTTTATCATTGGAGGTTCTTGGATGTTTCTGATCCCTAAAAGGGAATGTCTGAAAACGATGAACACAGTATTTCGTTTGGTTAGTTTTTCAAGACAGAGGCCATATAGCCCAGACTGGCCTGAAACTTGGTATGTATACAGAACTGATCTCTAAGGGAATCCCGCAAGGCGGTGGGCATGTGCCTCACAGGTTTTTGTTTTGTTTTTGTTGTTGTTGTTTTTGTTGTTGTTATTGTTCATACGATCTATGTTTGTTCGTTGTAGAAACAAGGACAAAACTATAAAAGAACTGTTTTTTAAAAATCATTAGCCAAGCGTGGTGGCACATGCCTAGGATCATGAGTTCAAGTCCAGCCTGGACTACACCTGATACTGTCTCAAAACAAACACAAAAATAAAAAGAGGGGGAGGGGAGGTTGTCATAATCTTGCTGGGTTTGATAATCTTGCTGGGTTTGGTGGGGGCTTCCCTCTAATCCTGGCACTTGGGAGATGAAGGCCCCGAGGATGGGAAGTTCCGGAGCAGCCTTGGCTACCCAGCGAGTTCAGTGTGAGGCCAGCATGGACTCCCTGAGACCACCGAATCAAATAGTAAGGAAGTCAGTCATGCTGTGGATATGTATGCCATTACCACCCACAGGCAGTTCGGTTGGCAGGCTGCTCTGACATTGAACATCAGGCGAAACTTTTCCAGTGACGAGCCCCTGCACCGTACGCACCACGCACCGTTACTAACAGACGCATCCCTCTGCGGGGCGCACCGAGTGGTGCTAGGAGGGGCAGAGCGCGGGGCAGGGCGGGCAGCTGGACCGAGGGAGGGGAGGATGGTGACTCCTGACCCTGCGGCGTATCCGGGCCCCAGGTGGGCGGCGCGGCCCAGGTGAGCCCGCCCGCCCGCTCGCCCGCGCCGCTCCCCCTCCTCCCCGCTCGCCCGGGTGACGACCGTTAGCCCCGCCCGCAGCAGACGGCGCGGCCGCTCCCGGTGGCTCAGGCCTGGAATCAGGGAGGCGCCCACGTCCAGGACTAGCGGAGGAAGGCCGGGAAGTGCGGCGGCACCGGCGGAGACATCCCCAATGACCTGGCCTTCCCCTCATGCCGCCGGTGCCCGTCCAGCGTCCAGCCGCAGCCGTCGCTAGGTTGATTTCAGGTTTTTCTCTTTAAGTGGTTGTTGTACCTCGGCATGAGCTTTAGAGGTGAAGATGAGAGACTTAGTTATTTGGAAGCCTACCTTACTTTGACAAGTCTTAAGAACTCAAGGTTGACTGATGATGGTAAGACATTACACTTGAACCAGTGAAGCCATCTGCTTTAACTAAGTAGTTCCTTGACCCACTGGACGTTTTTATTTGTAGATAGAAGTTCTGAGCCCTTTATCGGGATCCGAATTTTACGTGCTGTTTTTAAGTGGCATCTAAAAGGTTTGCTGGAGTCATCAGTCAACTGTGCGGTCAGGCATTTGGGGGTACAGGAAAGAGGAGAATGACGACCGCAGACAAAGGCTGTGGTTTTTCGGGAAGAGGGTGCTTATCTGGGTTCCCACTTTATTCTCAACCGTCTGGGCTTCATTCCCCAAATCCTAGGCTGGTGAGGCACCTAGTGGTGAAGTAGGGGGACAGTTATATTCCAGAAGGCCACATGGAATAAAATACAAGCACTTGATCCAACTTCACCAAATTGATAAATTGTTCTGAAGTATAACGCGATTTGTCGGAAGTAAAGTTTGATCATCTTGACGACCTTAGCAGTGATCGCAGAAAATCAAAACTCTCAAAAAGGAATAGAGGTGTAAAAAATTACATTGCAAAAAGGATCTTCCAATATCGCGTTTATCATAGTAATTTTTGTAATATTAGATTTTTTACTCATATAGTTACTTTATGTGACATAGATCACCAAATCCATATGGTTTAAAGAAAGAGCTGACTCCCCACAAGTTCTCCCTGCTCCCACAATGTGCTGTGGCATGTTTGTATGTGTGTTCTATGCACCCACAAAAAAGAAAAGTAAGGAAGAAAGAAAGGAGAGAGGGAAGAAGGGAGGAAGGGAGGGAGGGAGGAAGAAAGGAAAGAGGGAGGGAAGGAAGAATAGTAATTTTTATTTTTTTGTTTTATTTTTTAACTATGTGTGTCTATGTATGCGCATGCACACAGTGCCACAGAGACGGCAGCTGGAACCCGGAGTTACAGGTGGGTGCTGAGAACTGAACCTGGGTGCTTCTCCACTACAGCACAAGTGTAGGCATCTGGTCTGTGGACCTGTAACGGTGGCCACACCCCTTAAGGTGTGGCTTCAGGCGGAAAGAGGGAAGAAAGGCTAAGGCGTGGTCTCGCTTGCAAGGGTCTTTTCTAGTGGGTTAGCTGATCCAGTAGGAAGAGCAGGGAAACACTCCAGCGGTTCTTCGTATTTTTCTGTGCAATTGTTCCCCAATAAGCACCCATTTGTCATTTATCTTGGGTCTAGTGATATAATTACATCTTCGCCTTCACACAAGCTCTCAATCTCTGATCCATAGCTCCAGCCTCCCATGATTTTTAAGTAGTTCCAGAGCTTTGAAAGGAAATAACCTGAACACAAAGAAGTTAGGATATTAAAACTGGATGTATATTTTTCAGTTAAAAGTCATACAGTAACAAAATCATCTGAAAATAAGACTGTTATTTTTGTTGATTATTTCAAAAGCTAGGCAGTGGTGGTGCACACCTTTAATCCCAGCACTCTGGAGGCAGGTGCAGGTGAATCTCTGTGAGTTTGAGGCCAGCCTGGTCTAGAAAGTAAGTTCCAGAATGGCCAGAGCTGTTACACAAAGAAGCTCTGTCTTGAGAAAAACAAAACAAACCCAAACATATTCCAATAAAATATTTGTGCATGGTGCTTTGCCTACAGTTGTCAAGTAATCAGAGTATTTATATTCTGGTTTTATAGCAAGGTGTTGTTTTAAGTATATAGCAGTATACTAAGGAGATTTGATTTTTAGGTAACTTATGAAGAAAATCATTATATAATTTCATATCCTCTGTTTTTTATTACAAATAATATGTTTTGGTGGAAGCTGCTTGGCTTCTCATTGCAAAGGAAGAATAAGCTTGTTTTTACTTTGTTAAAACAGAGAGCTTGAAGATGTCCCAAAGGCACTCAGCCAGCCAGGGAGCAGGCAGCAAAGTGGACTCCCCTGTTGTCAAGTGGCCCAGCCTCAGAGACTTTGGTCTTACATCTTCCTTTCAACATGAGTTGTCAGAGACTTGCAGCTTCAATAGGAAAGAGAAAGACCCAGCGTTAACCTGTGGGCATCTTGAAACTCCAAGCCGAGGCTCAGGCAATCCCGCAGCATCTCCCACTCAGAGAAGGAAACCTGTGTTCTCAAGGAAGGAGAAGGGGGGAAGCCCAGAGCTCTGCGAGACCCCCAAAGCCAGAAGGAAACCGCGCCTCTTACGCAGGCGGCTTGATCTATCTTTCACGCTTCTGAAGGGGGACTCTGACCCTCAGAACGGTTCTCTGGAAAGCAGCGCAAGATACGTTCTTAGCCCAGGAAAGCATATCACAGACAGCACTTCCGGTTTCACAAAGCAGGACAACTTTAGTCCATTAGTTATCAGCACAATAAAAACAGAGGATGCGACTTCCAGCAGCCAGAGCTCAAGGTTAAGCTTTTCCCAGCACAAGACTTCCACAATCGATGACTCCACGGAAGAATGTGGTTTATTCGAAGTGGAGTGTCTATCTCCAATTCAAGGTGATGATTTTAAAGGTTCTATTACACACGACTTTAGCGACAGCAGTTTAAGTGTTAGTGATGAGAACACATGTCCGGAACTTCTAGGCTCCTCTGGTAGCCAGACATCCTCTGGAGCAAATGTAACCACATCTGTAACTCCAGTGAGTAGTTGCATATCAAAAATTAGATTTAAAGGGAGCCAAGCACTTTCTTCTTCAGCAGAGGTGCGAGACAGCGTTTCCACACCCGAAGACAGTGGTTTTAGCTCCCTTACCTGGGATAAGTCAGAAGATTCCCTCTCCGACCAAGAGGGCTCTTTGCAAGAGCTGTTTCAGAAGCACAGGGGAACTCCCAGAGCGGGGGACCTGACAAGAAAGCCAAAGCATCTTGGAAGGCAGAGAAGACTGTCCACCCTCCGGGAGCAAGGCTCCCAGTCAGAGACAGAAGATGAAGAGCAAATGGTCCCTGCAGTGGGCGCTGCTTCAGGCATCTCGGGGGATCCGCGAGGCTCCGATATGAAGATCTGGGATTCTACTCTAAGCTTTAAGAACTTATCAAATACCCCAGCCTTACAGTTAGTGCACGAGCTCTTTGTTAAAAGCAAAAGGAAGCGATTCCCGCGGGAGGATGGCCAGGAGTTCTTTGAGGAAAGGCACGAGGGGACAATAGGCAGATTGCAGTGTATTCTGGCCGGACTGATTGGCAAGAAGATGGGCATAGAGCAGCTGGATATCTTAACAGAATTACAATATAGAAATTTAAAGCATGTCTTAGCTATGGTTTTAGATTCCTTGACTTCAGAGAGTTTATACAGGTAAGAAATAAAACTTCATCATCTTTTAAATTGGTGTTTGTTTTGTTGTTTTCCTGTCTTTGGTTTATTACACTATATCAGCTGTTGTTTAAGTGACCTGCCTAGTAGAGATTGCTAAGTAATTCCCTCTGTTTAAAAGCAAAACTAAAAGATGAACCTACTGGTGCAGGCCTCTAATCCCAGATACTTGAGTTGCTGCTGCTACTGTTGCTGCTGCTGCTAGTGTGTGTAGAAATCCAGAAGTTAATTCATATTCTTCTATCTGTCTTAATTGCTTCCCACCTTACTTTTTGAGACAAGGTCTCTTACTGAAAGTGGAGCTCACCTATCAGGCTGGCCAAGCTCCTGGGATCCTTCCAGCCACACCTGCTCACCATGGCATTACAACTGTGAGCTGGGCCTTTTATGTGGGTGACGGATGCTCCCAAACATCCTTTTGCTTACACAGCAAGTGCTTCACCAACTGAGTCATCTCTCCAGGCCCTCCCACTGTGTGTGTGTGTGTGTGTGTGTGTGTGTGTGTGTGCATGAGAGAGAGCGAGAGAGCTGTGAGAGAGTGTATATATGTGCGCATGTGAATGTGCGTGGATGTGGGGTGTGTGGGTATTGTGTGCGCATGTGTGTATATGTGGGTGCACGTGTGTGCGCACGTGCGTGTGGGGGTCTGTGCATGGTGTATGTGTAAGGGTATGTGTGTGTGAGAGAGAGAGAGTGTGTGTGTGAGAGACAGAGGCTGTACATGTATGTGTGTGGAGAGACAGACAGATGGTCAGACACAGATAGACAGGGCTAGCCTTGTATTCTGTTCTCCCCTTCTATCATGTGCTTCCTGGGGACTAACCCGGGTCCCTCAGGCTTGGTAGCAAGTATCTTACCAAGACGAGCCACCTCCTGCCTCATGAATCTCTCTCTTGAAGGGAAGATGCCATGTTGATTATGTCCTTGCTGTTGTTATGGCTGCTGCTCTCAAACCGTCTTTGCCTTTCTCCCGCACATCTATTCTAGGCTATTGTAGGAAGTTACGCATTTTGTTGCTGGAAGTCTTCTGAGATATTGTCTACCTGTGTAGTTTGCAGATGGAGAAACATCTGTGGATAGATTAAATCACTTGCAGCAGTCCAGAAATAGATGGAGGTCTACCTCACTGGGCTCTCTAAGCTTTCATCCAGTATCCCCCTGAAAACTCTTAATGTTCTGCCTCCTTCCAGATTATATTTGGTAAAGCACATGTTGGTGTAACCCAGATGGATAACATACATGTACACATCTGTGTGTGCCTTTCAAATGTGTTCAAATGGTAAGTTATCTAAACAATTAACATGGCTGAATACAAGAATGTTGTTTTTCAAATGTTGGAGTATTTCAGTACAGGAAAGTCAGCATTTTGGGTGGCTGCTTACGTTAGCCATTGATACTGGTCATACTTAGTGATTTCTGCCCTTCCCCTGTAGAGTATTTGCAGCAAAGAATGTATGTTTATGACCTTAATGGTAATCTTCTTGGTAACACGAGGGATGGGGATGAGATAGTTATGGAGAAGTGTGCAGGTGCGTGTGCTCGTGTGTGTGCACGTGCATAGGTGTGTATGCACGTGTATGTGTGTGCTCGTGCATGCCATGACATCCATGGAGATCAGAGGACAACTTTGTGGAATCAGTTTCTACGTCCATCTTTAAGTGTTGTGAGACGCAGGTTGTCCTGTCGGCATCACACTTGCCTTTATCCGCCGGGCCTACCCTTGGTCGTGGCTTTCCTTTTAATGGGTGACTTTGTGCCCACCTCTCGTGAGATGAAAAGTGCATAGATCGATTGAGAGAGGTGACGGCACCTGCAGTGGCCAAGGCAACACAGCGCAGTGTTGACAACTGTAGTGTGGCCTGGGCCCTCAGTGTACGCCTTTCTCGGTCTTCTTCTGGTCTCCTTACATGATTGGTCAAATTAAACACGAAAGGTTAACTGTTCTTTTCACCAAGTAGTTAAAGCTGTTGAGAGGTAAAGGGGCTGAAGCTGGGCTGTAGCTGCTGCTGCCGCTCACTGCCGCCACTGCTGCGGCCATCGCCTAAGCTTTGTGAGTAAACTGGACAACAGGATGCTCTTCAGCATTAGAAATAGAACCTACATCATTCGATAGGATGCTGCCCACAAGAATGTCTATTATTTGGCACTTACTGCTTCCAGGATTATTAAGGGCCATTCTGGTGTTTACTTGGCCAAAAGTGACTGAGATGCTCTAGATAGAGGACTAGGAGAAATCAGCTGAGCTCCTCATACTAGATAATAATCAATTGCTGCGTGCTGCCTTCCAAATCTATAACCGAACAGCACATGGACCTAGTACTCCGGTGACTCGTGTTTGCTTTGCTGTTGCTGTTGTTTTGAGACAGGATCTCACTGTATCCCAGCCTGGCCCTGAACTCAGTAGGTTACCCAGACTGGCTATGCTTCCCCAATGCTTGGATTACAGGTATAAAACCACCACCCATGGCTCATGTTGGCATACAGGGCTGGCAGCATTGCTCAGCAGGTAAGACTGCTTGCTACCAATCCTGATGGCCTGAGTTCAATCCCTGGAGAAGAGGACCAGATTTCACTAGTTGTCCTCTGACCAGATGAGAACCATGGCATGCACATGCTTTCCCCTGCTCCCAACACCTACCAAATAAATAAATGAATATTTTTAATTAAATGAACATAAATGAAACAGTCGTCAATTAAGATAATGCCACTATGTACTCTGCATTTTAACAGTAATTCTTTCATATGGTAAATCAATCTGAAACAATGAGTCAATCAAATCATATTATTATATAATTTTAAGCTTAAATTTCCTGTTCAAGATCTTTAAAGTTATTTTATTATTGGTAACCTTATAAGAAAATGTCAGCCTTCGGAGAATATGCAGTAATAGACTGACTTGTTTATTGCAGTGCCTGGAACGTCAGCAGAAACTGGCGTGAAATTGTGGCTCAGGATAAAAGGGCAAACGAGAGGAGGAAACTTTATATCATACAGCTGAAGGCAGGTGCTCAGGTAAAGTGGGTTACACTTCCTAGAAGTGGCTTGTAGCTAGTGACTCCATGCCACTGAGCCCCAAGTTTGGTCTTTCTCTCATCTGTCTTTTCCAGCTAGCAAACGTTCCCCTAGAAGTACAGTAGAAAACCAAGGTGAGTTACACAGTGGCCTGTTGATAGCGTTCAAATGTCAGTGCCCCACTAGAGCCTCCTCATAGTTAGATGACCCGGTAGCATGTAAAACCCCAGTCTTTTAATGATATTACATGTCAGCCACTGTGCCAATCCCTCAGATCACGGTGATGAGCATTTCTTGACATGGCCCCTGCTGCTTGGGTGCTACAGCTGGACGTGTGATTACAACTCAGGTGTGCTAAGTTCTGTGTGACATTTAAAAGGTCTGCTGAACAGGTCCCCGGGAATCGAAAGGGGACCTTGCTGAGACCTGGACCAGGAGTTACAGGCCAGTTAGGTGGAGAAGACAGGGGAGTATCTAGCAGGGGAGTTGGGCCTGAAAGAGGGCGGGTGCCCTTGGCAGGCTGAGGAGTGATGTGCCGTAACTTGTCCTCCTTTGAGACTCTGAGGTCTGGCTTTGACGGTAGGAGGCAAATTTATAGAAATGCACAGGTTCTTCAGAGACACAGCTTTGCATATTGGACAAAGGCAGCACCAGAATAACAGAGATGGTGCAAAGAATAAGGCCATCTGCATACACAGATGTGGGTTCCCCTTGTCAGTGAGGTGTTGGGGTCTAACGTTAAGTAGACTCTGAGGAAAAGGGTTATGTTGTTATTGTGAGACTGTGTGTCCTCAGTGTCTGGCTGCTGCCAGCAGGGGCTGCTGACCCTGGGGACTCCCAACAGTGAGACCACAGACAATGTAATCACTTCCTTCACATTTTTTTTCAATAAAGTGTTTGTGTGTGTTGTGTGTGTGTGTGCACTCACAAGCGAGTTCTCTTGTGAAGGACAACACACAAGAGTTCGTTCTCTTCTTCTACTTTGTGGGGCTTGGGGAGGCCAGAAGACAACTTAAGCTCTTGAGTCCGAACTCGGGTTGTCAGGCTTGGTGAGAAGCACGTTAACACACTGAGCCTCTTACCCGTGTTTTTAAAGAGTATTGTCCTGTATATGCAGGAAAACTTAAAAAATAGTTTCAAATAGCCGGGTGGTGGCGGCACACCCCTTTAATCCCACCACTTGAGAGGCAGAGGCAGGTGGATCTCTGGGTTTGAGATCAGTTTGGTTTACACATTGAATTCCAGGTCAGCCAAGACTAACAATAAAACCCTGTCTCAAACAAAACAAAACAAAAATTTCAAACAAGTACCTGTTAATATTTAACTTGTTAACCCAATCACTCCATTTCCTGCTTAATTTCTCTAAGGAAAAAAAAAATCTGGTGGTGTTGGCAACCACCTAGTAATTCCAGATAAAACATTTAACCCTCACATCCTCACTGCCATTTAAAAGAGAAGAAAATTAGCCAGATGGTGTGGACCACACCTTTAATCCAATACTTAAAAGGTAGAGGCAGGTAGATTTCTGAGTTCAAGGCCAGCCTGGTCTAGGGGCAAGTTCCAGAGAAACCCTGTCTCAAAAATTAACAAACAAACAGAAGATGAAGGAGGAAGTCGAAGAAAAGAAGAGACAACCTCAGAGGCAGGTGAGATCCGAGGAGCTTGACGACTCACACACACACACACACACACACACACACACGCACGCACGCACGCACGCACGCACGCACGCACGCACGCACGCACGCGCACAGCATGACCCTCACAGTACATAAATAATTGTCAATAAAAAATAATGCACCCTCTCTCCCTCCCTTCTTCTCTTCCTCCCTCCTTCTCTTCCTCCCTCCTTCTCTTCCTCCCTCCCTTCTTCCCTCCTTCTCTTCCTCCCTCCTTCTCTTCCTCCCTCCTTCTCTTCCTCCCTCCCACTCTCCCTCTTTTCGGAGTCTCACTCTGTAGCCTAAGTTGGCTTTGATCTCCTGTCCCAGGCTTCCCAGAACTGGGGTTACAGGTGTACTGTCATTCCTGGCTTTCAGTCTGGCTTCTTAAAGGACTACACTTTCCTTATACGTTTTTGTCTTATTCTGGTTTAGTTTGCAAACTGGATTATAGGTTTGTAACAAAGCTCACCGCTCTCTCTCGCTCTGTCCTCCTTGCTTCTGTAGACTGGCTGGCTCTGTAGTCCAGGCTCTCCTGGACCTCACAGTGTAACCCAGGATGGCCTCAGACTCATGGGAATCCTCCTGCCTCACCTTCCTGAGTGCTGGGATTGCAGGTATGACCCACACCAGGCTTCTGGTCTCTACTTCTGTTTCTTCTATTTCTAAGTAGAGCTCTTTAAATGCTACTACTATTATTATTATTATTATTAGAGACAGGGTTTCTCTGTGTAGTCCTGACTGTCCAGGAACTCATTCTGTAGACCAGGCTGGCCTTGAATTCAGAGATCCACCTGTCCCTGCCTCCTGGGTGCTGGGATTAAAAGCGTGTGCCACCATGCCCAGCTGATATTTGTTATTTTATCTGGAAGGGATTCGGTTAGTTCTCCATTCACTCAATACATCCTACCACCTTCTCCCTGGATCGCTTTCTCCTGCCTTATGGCCATCACCTCACCATTTGTGGGTGAATAAGAGTTAGGTGTGATATGAGACCATATCAAGAGTATTATGAAATGTTCACTGTTAAACTTTTGTGGCATTTTTGTTTTGTTTTGTTTTTTTGAGAGAGGGTCTCACTGTGAAAGCCTGGAACAAGTAGACAAGGCCAACCTTAAGCTGGTGGCAATCCTCCTGCCTCTGCCTCTTGAATTCTGGGACTACAGATGTACACCACCATGCCATGCTTAATGTGTTGTGTGTATGCATGTGTGTGTGCTTAGTGTATGCACGTATGCCTGTGTGCACACATGGAGGTCAGAGGTCAATGGCAGGTGTGCTCCTCTGATGCTCTCTACCTTATATTTGTAGCAGAGCATCTCTCACGGAACCTGGAGCTCAGCAGCTTTGCTAAGCTGGGCCAGTCTCTGCCCGCCCAGGGCTGGAGTTACAGGCATGGATCACTTTGGCTAGCTTCTGCGTGAGTGCCGGGATCCAAACCCAGCTCCCCAAGCTTGCACAAGTCCTTTCCTCACTGGGCCAGCTCCCCAGACTGCTTACAAACAGGCTTTCATATAACTCAGGCTGGCTTTGAACTCGCTCTGTACCTAAGGCTGGCCTTGAACTCCTCGATCCTCCTGCTGCTTTCCTTCTAGTGCCAGGATTACTGCATGGGCCATTGCACCCAGCATGCCATTTGACATGTCTTCCTGTGGCGCTTCCTCCCAGAATTAATCTATTGCTGCCTCTCGGTGTGTCTTTCTCCATCTGCCATAGGCAGAGCTTCTTGTTAGGACAGTGGGTCAGCTCTATTCTGCCAGCTGGCACTCAGATAACCACACAGACTCGCTGATAGCCCAGCTTGATTTTAGCTAGCGTTTACAACTTAAATTATGTGCTGCTCTAAGGCTTCTTTACCTCATCTGTGTACTGTCTGTACTGCTGCTCCTGAGTCTGGCTGGTGACTCCAACATTTTTCTTCCCAGCATTGTCCTAGTCTGGCTCTCCTGCCCAATCTCTTCCTGCCCAGCTGTAGGCCAGTCATCTCTTTATTAACCATTCAGGGTAAACATATTTACAGTGCACAAAGCCTGTTCTACATCTGGCTGTCTCCCCCCAACCTCCAAGTGTGTATATTTCTCTCTCTCCTCTTAGATTCTGGATTAATCTTCCCTTATATTCAAGAACCAAAAGTCTCTGTGTGAATTCCAACACATTCTACCTTCCTCCCTTTCATCAGAGTCCTGTGCTTTCCTAGTCCACATGAACCCGGGCATTTATGTCACTGGCCAAAGCAAAAACATTTCAAAATTTCTTTAGTGATTTTCCTCCGATTGTACAGTGTCTCATAAAGATGCTTGGCTAAGTGAATTCACTAGAGCTTCATCTGTCTTCCATCTTTAGGCGAGTGTGAGCGGCCACTGGAACTGGGATCATTGCCTCCCTCGTCCCCTCCCCCTCAGAGAGTATTGTTTATTCTTTACTGTTCTCACATACTTAGGGAATGGGCAACCATTAGATGACTCCATAATACTTTTAGTAACCAGCACTCAGGTGACAGAGGCAGGGTGGGCTCTGGATTCGAGGCCAGGGTGATGCACACATCAACTACGAGGCCAGTAGCGTGTCTTGTAGACTTGTTAGCAGGCACGAGCATGTGCCTTTGTGGACTGCTTTGTCTCTTGACATTAAAAACAAAACCAGAAAAACTGTCGCCAATTGGACATCCCATAAATACTTACTAAATGAATAAGTGTTTCTTCTCAGTTGGCTTCAGCTGACACCCTGATTCATTTTTGGGTGAATGGACACTGCACCCATCAGCTGCATCACGATGCAGCCCGTGTTTTTTAGTGAGCTCTTGACTGGGCACTGTGGCCTAGGCTATGCATGATAGAAATGACAGTCTTCCAATGAGTTCAGTATGCGCAACTGCATTCAAAGTCTAACCCTGAAGGCCAACATTAGTCCCTTTCGTGTATTTTAAAACCTGTTAACCCCTTCCCTTCTTATGCCCAACTAACTGCATTCCCTGTACTTAGTCTACTATACTTTCTTCTGTTTTGGGTTTCCAGTTGGATCCAATTATAGCTCAGGAGACTTCAGAGAGAAGAGGCACAATTGAATTGTCAGGAAACTTAATCCAGTGTGTTCATCTTGACAGCTGGTTTGTCCTGTCTGTTTTAAAAGAAACATTTTCCCCATTACAACCTTAACCAAATACAAGACTGTATGCACTACTTACTGAGAATGCTTTTCTAATTATTTTTTCCAATTTTATTGAGGTATAATTGACAAAGGGACATTGTATCCTTTTAAGGTGTTTAAGCCAATTCACACACTTCTTGACCCAACATTTGACTAATGTGGGGCTCTAGTTCAGATGTGAGATGCTCTTTTCTCTTTTAAAAATATCAAGGCTGTAGAAAACAACCATAAAAATGAATCAGAACCAGATCCTTGCAAACCAGCCAAAGACACTGGGCTGTGTGATCTCAGCAATTCTATTGCCCGTCCAACATGTGCTTAAGGTAAGAGCTTGCAAAGATTCCATGGCAAGCTTTGAAAAGACTCGCCCTTCCCCTAACTCTCCTCTTTTTAGATCTTGGTTTTAAAATGAATTGCAAACTATGGTTTGTAGGCCAAGTGCTTTCTGCCACCTGTGTTCTCAAATAAGTTTGATTGGAACAGCTCTTTGGTATTTCTGCTGTCAAAGCTCAGAACTGAGCAGCTATTGGCTACATGGCCTGCAGTCTAACGAGCACTATTTTATACCATCCTATTCCTTAGAGAAGTTTGCCAATAATAAATAAATGACTTAAATGGAAAAGGAATTGATCACACACACAGAAGACTAAAAATGTATTCTTTTCAAAATTGAGAGAGGGAGGAGAGAGAGAGAGAGAGAGAGAGAGGAGAGAGAGAGACTGCTCATAACCACCCATGGCAAGGCTCTAGCACTGAGGTCAGGACGATTTTGGGGAGTTGGTTCTTTCCATTCACCTTGTTGGTACAGTACCCGTCTTGTTTAGACTTGGATAGACTTCCAGGTTGTTCTCCTGCCTCGACTTCCCATCTCACTCATAGGAGTTCACTACCACATCATGCTGTCAGACTTTCACGGCTTTCACCTTCACCCGCAGAGCTATCTCCAAACTTGTTTTCTTTGGCTTAAAAGTTAGGTGGGAAAGGATTGCCTGACTCTGAACCCCCTCTCCCCACACCCCTAAAGAGGAACGATCCAGCGAAAGATCTTGGTGGTTTAAGCCACTCCTGAACATTAAATAAAATCCAGGCCAGGCTGGACACTGTCATGCCTGGGAAGCCTCTGATTTTGCGGTGTGGATCATCTCCGTCTTTCCTACAGGCGGCTGTGTTACACGTTCGTGAGGCTGGCACTCGGCTCCAGCTCCTAAATCGCTCGGCCTTAAGATCAGTGCAGGCACAGGCACCGGCTGCCACTTCTCAGAAGGAGCAAGCGCCGACTCTGTCCCCTTGGGGAGATGTTTTGACACCTGTAGCAAGTTCCTCCCTCACCCACCTAAGGAGTAAACAGGATCAGTATGTGAAGGTGAGTATGGGCCCTAAGTTCTTAGGAATATTTAGCGTTTGGAATAAAGAGACAGTCGGTGTCACGCCGGAAGACTGAGTGTCGTGCTTCCACTGCAGGTTGCCAGGACGCTTTTCAGTGATGAAGCCCTAAAACCTTGTCCACGGTGCCAATCCCCTGCTAAGTACCAGCCATATAAGAGAAGGGGGCTGTGCAGCCGTTTGGCCTGTGGCTTTGACTTTTGTGTGTTATGTCTGTGCGCTTATCATGGGTCGGAAGAATGCAGAGGAGGGCCCGCAAAGCCGCGGAGTACTAAAGATGCTTTGCCAGGGAGTGCCCAAAGCAAGCGGAATTTAAAACGGCTCTAAGGAGAGACTGCTGGCCCGGTTCCGTCTGACTTAAAATTATGACTATTTTGAACACATGCAAATCTTCCCGTTGATGATAGATGATGATTTATTTCCTGTTTTATATATGTTATAATGCACCCCATTGTATATTTTCTTTAAAGCGATGAGTTTTGAGAGAATTTTATTTTAGTATTTCATATTCCCACTTTAAATAACTTATTGTTTTAAATAAAGAATTTTCTGGACTGTTACATATGTGGGTTTCACTGCTCCACGTAACTTTTAAAATTTGTGCATTTCATAACTATGTGTCTGAATGTTCTTCAATTGTTATTTTTAAAAATAATTTTCCAAATAATTGGAAAAAATTGGACTTTAGGCCAGTACATTTACAGGTTTTAGAAATTAACTGATGGATGAAATTAAAAATAAATAAAATGTTTTTAGAAGTTCCATCAAATGTAACCCATAGTTTCAATCTTTCTCTTATTTTAGTAGACTTTTGGCTCAGTAAAATTTACTTAATACTAATAACTTAAATATCAATTACAGAGAATCTGTAGTTACTTATACAGAATTTTATTAACAAATACCTATAAATCACACATTTATAATTAAGTTCTTAAAATTCTGAAATTATAGCCACAAATTCTAATATTTTGAGAGATTTAGGTTGGGTGGAAAATATGGGTTTTGAATGGAAAAACATAAAAAGTCATTGCTAATGGACACTATAATTTGTATGTGTTCATAATGTGCCTTTTCCCATGAACAATTCCAGTGGCAAAAGAGCTAAATTATTGTTGAAAAATAGTATAAGAAGGGATCTTTTTCATTTGTTTGTTTTGAGACAGGGTCTCATTGTGTAGTCCTGGCTGTCCTAGAACTCACTCTGTAGGCAAGGCTGGCCTCGAACTCACAGAGATCCACCTGCCTCTGCCTCATGAGTGCTGAGATTAAAGCCATGAGTCACTTACACTTGGCTCCAAGAGGGGAAATTTTTGGGGAAAAATGATTTATTTATTTTTATTTTATGTGCATTGGTGGTTTATCTGTATGTTTGTTTGTGGGAGTGGTTTGGATCTCCTGGAACTGGAGTTACAGAGTTGCCATGTGAGTGCTCAGAGTTGAACCTGGGTCCTTTGGAAGAGCAGCCAGTGCTCTTAACGGCTGAGTCATCTCTCTAGACCATAGGCAGGAAACTTTTGACAACAGATTTATAATTTGTGTACTTAGGTAGCTGCTGTATGAACAATATGTGTGTTTACCCTACACACACATTTAAATAGCTTTTAACACAATATTTAGGAAAATAATTCAAGTGTTTAAAATTTATATATGGTATATTTGGTTCTAAGTTGAATGCCCTTCACCCTTTCTTTCTCTCTCTTTCTTCCTTCCTTTCTTTCTTTTTCTTTTGACAAACTTTTGCTTTGTGGCAAGTAAGTCACTACATAGCCAGGCTGGCCTTGAACTCAAGTCCACTGCGTGCTGGGATTACAGGCAACCATACCCATCTTGATGTGGTTTATTTCCTGAGATATCTTGTGCACCAGGGTCAATTTACTAATGTTTACTGTAGTCTTCACTATTTCCTGCATATAGGCTTTTAAAGGTACTTTTTAGGAATGTATTCAGCGACATCAACTCTTACTGTATGACGTCACCTCTGATTACCACCCCCCCTTGAGCTGCTTCCTCTCACACTGACTGCTTCCTTCATCCCTAGGCGGAGCCCAGAGACTCCAAAGGAGACAGCAAATCCTGCTGCTGCTCTTTGGAGAGATGGGATCAAATCAAACATTTGTGGGGCATAACATAGACCCTTGAAGGAACCATGGAGTCAATGTCTAAACTGCTCACAAAACTGGCTGAACACAGACGCACACATCATCCACTGAGTTGATATGGCTCTGTTCTAATTCCTTCCCTTCCAAGGAACTTATCTATTAGAAACTATTGCCCTTAACTGCTAAATCATCTCCCTGGCCCTGGCCCTGGAGGAACTCATCTTATTCCTTTTTTTAAACATTTTTAATGTATACTGCCTGCATATATGCTTGAGCACCGGAAGAGGGCACCAGATCTCATTACAGATGGCTGTGAGCCACCATGTGGTTGCTGGGATTTGAACTCAGGACCTCTGGAAGAGCAGAGGGTGCTCTTAACCACTTAGCCATCTCTCCAGTCCCCATCTTACTCCTTTTATTGTAACAAAAATTGGGGATCAGGAAGATGACTTGGTGTGAGGTCAGGATTATAGCAGAGGCAGCAATCTTCCGAAGGTACGGAACAGAGGTCTTTGCACAGCTCTGTTTGAGAATCCAATGTGTGTGCAATTACAACACTGTAAATGGAAGACAGCTTTGCTATTATCTTGTTGGCCTGCTGGTGGAAAGTTCTAATTACAAATACTTCTATTTGATTAATTCCTCAGTTCCTTCGTGAATTTAAAGAACTCTATTATTCAAAAATGTAAATGAAGGCAGGCATGGCAGCAGACTCCTGTGATCCCAGCAAGTGAGAGAGAGGTACAGGCAGAACAGAAGGGCTGGAGTCTCATCTTTGCCTCCACAATGCATCTGAGGCTGTGGTAGAAATTATTTTAAGGTGTGTGACTTTTGTTTACGCTGCATTTGTTTAACTCCGTGAAGCTGTGTTACTGTGCCTGTCTAAAGCACCTGGTGGTCCTGATAAAGCAAGGCTGGGGGAAGGGTAGACGGCGCTGGCCGGCAGAGAGGAGAAATAGAAGGAAAGAGGAGCAGCAAGAGAACAGGGAAAAGATAATGGGGTGGGGCAGCCACCCAGCCACCCAGCCACCCAGCCACCCAGCCACCCAGCCACCCAGCCACCCAAGAAATACAGAAGAAAGATAAAAGCCCAGAGGGAAAAGGTAGACAGGTTAATTTAAGGTAAGAACAGCTGGCTAGAAACAAGCCAAGCCAAGGCCAGGAACTCATAACTAAGAAGAAGCCTTAATGTGTGATTTACTCCCGAAACAAAGAGAAACCCCACAAGCCTCTGTGATCACACTAGTCCTAAGGCCTTAAGATAACCTTAAGGCAAGTGTACTCCAAGGGCGGTGCCACCACGCTCTGGTTAGCATCAGATCTCCTCACTTGTTGACAGCTGGGTGAGTGAAGCCCTGAGAAAGAGTCACCGTGCAGTTATGCGGGGCAGCTCTGCGTTCTCACAGAGTTCCGGAAAGGGAGGAATGGGGACATTTGACTTACTCCTCATTCCAGGAAGAGAACTGGTTTGGAGGAGGAGCTGTGACTTGGTGTAGGAATACTCGAGTCCTCTCCCCACCTCAAATGGTCAATCCTTTTTTCAGCCTTTATAGCTAATGGCAAGAATACCCCATTTTTAAACGGATTCTCACCTCCTATTGCTTGGGAAAAGGGCAACAAGTTGTGTCAAATATAAAGAGAAACAGTAAAAGCAAGCTAATAATTTCCTACTAGCTTTCCTATGGGCACAAAGAAAGGTATTCAAATTCATTGTAACTTTTTTAAAGAAGTGGGTCTTACTGTGGATTTATTAAGATTTGAATGGCAAGCTATTAAAGCTATTTTATATGCTAGCTTTTAAAAACCCCCAACACTGACAACAACAGAAAACCCACAAGTTCTCATGTGGACCAGGCTGGCCTCATACTCTCTGTGTAGCCAAGGATGACCCAAGTACCTGCTGGCATGTGCCAGCATGACTGGTTTATGGGATGCTGGTGGTTTGGTGGTTTAAACTGGGACTTCATGTGTGCTGAATAAGCCGTCTACCAACCAAGCCACACCTCTATACTTTAATATATTTGTATTAACTTTTTAGGGTTTCATATATGCATTCAATGTAGTTTGATACAAGAAACATTTTGATGCCTTGGCACTGTGTAAACTAAGTTCTTGTAAAATATGCTTATTTTAAATTATGTGGACATTTGTGTCTGTGTATGGGCATGCACACATGAGGGCTGGTGCCTGAGACAGATGTCAGATCCCATGGACCTGGAGTTACATCTTGTGTGGTGCCCAGTGTGGGTGCTGAGAACTGATCTAGGATCATTTGCAATAGTAACACTTGTTCTTAACCTCTGAGCCATCTATCCAACCCCCAAAGCTGTGTTCTGTTCCCTTGGCTTAACCAATTGTATAAATAAATCACAGTAATAAATTCATGACACAAAGATTTACTGAGGATTTGGGCACTTAATAAATTACATTCCTGTTTACATTGTTTCTTTAAGTTATTTGTTTAATAAAATGGCATTTTAAAAGATCAAATTACCCAATCATTTCAAATACAGGGCAATTAATTTTTCAAAGAGAAAACTGAAATATTCCACTAGGGGGCACCAAAGACTTATTTATGGTGGTGAATTTGACACATACGGTGACATTTCCATATAGGGCAACGTGTCTTCATTTTATTTTTTAAAAAGTATATGTAGAATAAATTTGGGGAATAGTTACTACTCAGTTATTTTGGCTGGCTTGCAAGTATGTAATATTTTCCCGGATGCTAACGGAGCATTTTGAGGTGGACCCAGGTGTGTGCTTGGACTGTGCTAACTTCCCCCACCAGACCTGCACTCCTGGCTCCATCATCATGCACTGCAGAGGTGGGCATATGAGTGTGCACTGTGAAAATGGTGTCAGAGGCTCCTGATGGTTCCCCTCAGGTGGTTCCATTCCTGCAGGAGGCAGGGACAGGGTCCAGGTTTAGTTATATCCTGGCATGACTATGAATGTTCCCAGCAAACATTGGATTCCAGGTTGTTTGTACTAAACCATGACCCCAAACCACATTGCTTCCCTTTTACTGTTTGTTTTGAGACAGTTTTTTTTTTTTCCTGTGTAACAGCCCTGGCTTTCCTGACATACAGCAGGCTGGCCTCGAACTCACAGGGATCTGCCTGCCTCTGCCTCCCGAGTGCTGGGAGTAAAGGCATTCGTGGACCACCACCCAGCTACATTGCTTCTTCTTAAAGTCCAGACTTTCAGTTATCTCTTCCACTATTTCATCCCGCAAACTTTATTCTAAATGCCATCTGTGTTGTTCAACTTCCTTATGTCTTCTCTCCTCTCTTCCCATCTGTCATCTTCTGATTTCTCCAACAAGATGAAAATTGTGCCTTCTTCGAATCTTACGTTTATCTTTTTTTGTGTATGGTCTTTCTACCATCTCTTACTAGTCTTCAAGC